ATCTTGCTGTGTTTCATTTCAATTATGCATTACTGTTTCTACTTCATTTTGATGGGAGACAGCGGAAAGTATTTTGGTTCATGAGAATAAACCTCCGATCTTTTCGGGTTATATTTTTTTAAAAAGTTACAAATCGCTAAAATTAAGTATACATTAGTGATAATTTGTTCTCAAATTTTTTGTTGTACGACAGAAATATCGTTTTGTCTCGCCATAAGCTATGCTCATAATCCTAATTATTGTTAATAAAACAAAAATAGTATTGATTTGTTTTGTTTTATGTTTTGATTACAAAGATTAAGGAAGTAGTTTTGTTTAAAAGTAATGTAATCTACAATGAGATTATATTTGGTAAGTTGGTAATTAAGCCAAAGTTCTAGAGGATAATAGAATTTTTCATTTCCTCTTGTATTGACACGTGGAAAATATTAAGGCTATAGCAATTTCACCCACCTACGCTTCCACGTTTCTCTCTCTCTTCTCTCTCTCATCCTTGCTTTTCCGTCCCGGCATTCTTACTTTTGCGCCTCCGAAAGCCGAACTTGTGATCTTCCTGCAAGGTTTAATCCCCTTCTTAAGCTTTAGGCTTCTAGGTATCTGGGTTTTGTCCCTATTCTGCAATTACAAAGTTCTGAAGTTTCGAGGATCGCCTAAAGGTTTTTCTCTCTTCATCGTCTTGTTTTTGTCTTTCTATTGTTTATGAACTCTTTTGTTTTTCCTTGACATCTGAATTTTGTTTGATTGAGTTTCCTTGATCATCTGTTTTTAGTTATCTCGGAGTTGTGTTATTGAATTGCAGTCCTCTTTGCTGATAGAAATGTAGTTTTTGAGATGGGTTTTTAATGATCAGTGTGAATTTTGCTGGAAATTTCTCGAAATTTCTTATGAAGCTTTGTTTTTATCATTTTTCTTTAGTGGATTGGCGATTTTAGGCGCTGATAAATTTGAAGAACCAAAATAATTTATGGCTTGAATTTGTAAACTAATGAGGATGAGAGTTGAGAGTGAGTTTTCTGTACAATTACTGCAGCTACCTTGATTATTTTCAAGATTTTGGTGATTTGAATTTGATGCTCTGGTTGAGGCAAAACGTCTGCTGGTGTTCTGTTTATATGCCTTGAGGAACTAATGGAAGGTACTTTGGTCTATGCAAATTTTGGGGCTGGTTCTTCTTCCTCCCAATCCATTTCCCATAGCAATGTGTTTCCTGACTCCTTCAGACTCTCGAATGTCGAAAAATGTTTACCAAAACTGAATGTATCTGTAACGGCTCAGCCCCACTGCTAGCCGATATTGTCCTCTTTGGACTTTCCCTCAAGGTTTTTAAAATGGGTCTCCTAGGGAAAGGTTTCCACACCCTTGTAAAGGGTGTTTTGTTCTCCTCCCCAACCGATGTGGGATGTCACAATCCACCCCCCATTCAGGGCCCAGCGTTCTCGTTGGCACTCGTTCCTTTCTCCAATCAATGTGGGAGCCCCACTAAATCCACCCCCTTCGAGGCCCAACGTCCTTACTGGCACCCTGCCTCATGTCTACCACCTTCGGGGAACAGCCTCCTCGTTGGCACATCGCCTGGTGTCTGGCTCCGATACTATTTGTAATGGCCCAGGCTCATAACTTTGTAAAGGGTGTTTTGTTCTCCTCCCCAACCGATGTGGGATGTCAGTATAGCTTTAGGGACATGCGCTTATGTGTAGCTGGCATTGGTATATTGAGGAATCTATCTTGGATAAGAGAATTGTGCAAGGATGTGACCATAGTGTATGCATTTCTTGTCAGAGCTGGAGGGTTTCTCTTATCAGATATGTGACAATAGCGCTTGTAGGATATTGAATGATCAATTCTAAATGCACATTACTTGCCTTGGTTGAAACCTTTCCCCCAACCTGAAGGCTTCTGAAAACACTCAACCAAGTTCCTTGCTTTTGATGAGATTCAGTTGTTTTTATGGATTTTTGTTCTTCTTGTGATCCTGGTCTGTCAGACCTACTACAACATTCGGTAGCTAGTTTAGCAACTTGTTGACTTCATTATTTGATCTGATATGATCTTTCTTTTTGTGAGATCCCACATCAATTGGAGATTAGAACTTTAAAAACCTCGAGGAAAAATTCAAAAATGGCGATATCTGATAACGGTGGGCTTGAGTTGTTACAAATGGTATTAGAGCCAAGCATCGGGTAGTGTGCCAGCATGAACGCTAGCCCCCAAGGGCGTGGATTGTGAGATCCCACATTGGTTGGAGTGGGAAACGAAGCATTCCTTATAAGGGTGTGGAAACTTCTCCCTAGTAGATGCGTTTTTAAAACCTTGAGGGAAAGTTCAAAGAGGACAATATCAGCTAGTGAAGAGCTGGGGCGGTTACACTTTTCTTGCATGACCATTTATCAGAAAAGAAGTATCTTGTGGGTGGTATATTGACCATCTAAATTGTATGATTCATCTTGCAGAAGAGTACAATATCATCCTATTGCCTGGGTTTGGCGATTAAGGAGCTGGCACGATCATCTCATCTCTCAAAAGCTGTCGTGGCTTCTCAGTGGCCGAATCACAATCCGAAATGGATGCAAAAGGCATTGCTTGGGTCGGGCGTTTGTACCAAAAGTTCGAAACTATGTGCCTCGAGGTAGAAGACATTATATGTCAGGTATGCTTTTTGAAAGTTTGATATTCAGCTGTCTACTCTCCCTCTACAGTCAGATTCTGCTGAATGTTTGACTTTAATTTGTTTTGTGTCTGAAAATGTCACACTCCTGTTGACTTGGTCTACTCTTTTCACCTGATCTTGAGACAGGACACTGTTAAATATGTTGAGAATCAAGTGGAAGTAGTTGGGGCAAGTGTCAAAAGGTTCTATTCTGATGTCGTGCAAGATTTACTTCCCCCAGCTGAATTGAATGATGAGAAGAAAGTGGCAGTTCGTAGTTCAGCTCTTGAAAAATATGAAAATGTTGTTATAGTTAAGAAACCCGTGAGGGGTATGAAGATAGAGCGTTCTAAAGCTGATGAAGAAAAGTCTACTGCGAACTTAAAAGTCACTACTGACACCAAAAGATATATTGTCCATAAGCTGCCTCGTCGAGACAACCATGGCAATAGTCCCTTATTGGCGTCCTCTCCATATTCTGCTAGCAGTTCCCAAATTGACGAGTATTCCGGAAAAAAGGATGACGATAATATACGTCATAAGCTCGACCTAACAAAAGGGTGCGAGTTTCTAACCGAGACTTCTACAACAATCCTTGAGAAGAAATCTGCAAATGAGGTATCATCATGCTGCGTAATCTCGAATAGACAATGTGAAGGTTCGAGCGAGCTAGCAGGTAGTACGGGAACCATGTTGTTGGTCGAGGACGCAAGGTGTGATTCGTTGGTGCAGAGTTCAAATGAGACTGGAATTGAGTCGGACAACATATCATCATCGAAATCCATTGGGGACGATAAAATGGAGACAAGACCTCTATCGCATGGTGATTCTTCAGCGGAGTTAGATGGTAATTATATCTTCTGCTTTATTATGTCATACATTCTTACTAAGAATGTTTTGTTTTCCTCCAACTGATGTGGGATCTCATAATCTATCCCCTTAGGGGACCAACATCCTGGCTGGAACACCGCCCATTGTCTAGCTCTAAAACCATTCGTAAAAGTCCAAACCCACCACTAATAGATGTCCGCTTTGCCCGTTATGTATTGCAATCAGCCTCACGGTTTTAAAACGCGTATGTTAGGGAAAAGTTTTCATACCCTTGCAAAGGATACTTTGTTCTCCTCTCCAAGTGTTGTAAAGTTTTTACACTCTTACAAGGAATGTTTCGTGTTTTCATACCCTTACAAGGGATACTTTGTTCCCCTCTCCAACTGTTGTGAAGTTTTTACACCCTTGTAAGGAATTTCCGTGCCGTTCTTTAACTGACTAACTGACGTGGGATCTGAATTGGCAACTCGATGCACATTTCTCGAGTAGTTCCAACATCCATGGTTATAGAATCATTTACGTGGTTGTAGATTCATTTACGATCAAGGATAGTTATGGTAAAATACTATAAGACTGACATCATTCATAGAAAATCTGAAATAATATCTTATTTTGTTTACACTTAATCTGCAATGATGATTTAGTTTTATTTTAGTGTATCTGATAAACATGGTTGTAACCATATTTTACACAGGACGATCAGGTTCATGGAGTCTTGATGAAATTGAGCATGATGCTACTGTCCTTGAACATGTAACAGACGAAATTCAGCAAGCAGATGAAATGAAACTAGACGAAGCCTGCGTCTTGGTGAACGGAGTTGACTTTCCTTTCGATTCGAACGAAGTCGAGCATAGAACTTACAAGGTACTCTATCTGCTCTCCCCATAGCATAATCCAACTCCAAGTTGCAGGTTGGTTCCAGTTTTACTCCTCATTCACTGAGTTCTCTGCATTGCCTCACAGAAGAAGATAGCTGGAGCATTCTCTTTCACAAAGAAGTCAAAGAGGAAGCAAGAATACAAAGAGCTAGCATTGAAGCATGGTTATGGCTCCGGTAAGTTCCCGAACGAGCAACATGAACAGAAACTACTAACTGAAGATGTTTCAGAACACGATTGGCAGCTTCTCTAAGCTTGGAATCTGCAAGAACAGATTCCATGGTTAATGCACTTGAATGAACCTCATGTAAAAAAAAAAAAAAAAAACCCACCAATGTGAGAAATGTGCAAAAACAAATATCAGAATCTCAGTGTCCAGAAGCATTATATATTTCATTATATGAAAGTGGCAAGAACCAGTTGTTGTACCACTCTCTGTATCAGAGCTAATTACATCTTATAAGTTTGTTACTTGGTAGTTATGATGAAAGCTTGTGCATATTCTTTCAAGATCGAGTTTGCTTTTGCTTCTGGGTCCTTCCTGAAAGTGTCATTTTATATGATAAGGAAGCCATTTTGGAGGCTACTATCAAGAACTGCACCGTTGAAACTGTTTGTGTTTGATAACAATGGATAATACAACAAGGATGGTCCAAATATGGCCAAATTTTAATTTATCATTTTTCCTCTGTTTTTGGATCTTTTGTGCTAATAATACATATCTAACTACAAGTACAACTATTCTTACAAAATTCATAGACAGAAAAGATGAGTTGAAACAAATCAAGAAAATCCCAAGAAGCAAACTGGGATCTTGATCCAAGTAAAATTCTATCCTAAAACGAAATGTGGCAAATGAACAAAGAACCAAACTTGGTTAGGTAAATAAGATAAGTTGAAACAAATCGAGAAAATCCCCAAAACGAAATGTGGCAAATGAACAAAAACTCCACCTGTCAACAAGTTGCTTAGTCACCCCATTCAGGTCGGCTACTTCCATACCACCTGGCCATTCACACCCACACGTCCACCTCCATTCTAGACCCTCTCTTAAAAAAAATACCGCCCCTATCTGTTTATTTAACATCATAATCCATTTCCATTTCCTCGGATCAAATCTTCAGCAAGAAAGAAAGAATACAAACACCACAAACAGAAAAATGGCGACAGAGAAATTGAGCCGCAGAGATGACACCACGAAGGAAAAAGAGATTCAGGTGGAGAGAGAAAGAGTCCCACAATTGACAAGCCACTTTGAGGCCATTGCTGTGCACGGCAAAGCGACCGACCCCAGTAATGAAAAAGCTACAACACCAGAAGAAACAAAGGCGAGACAAAAGAGTGATGCTAGTGGAGTGGGAAAAGAGACGTATGGAACCGGCATTGCTAGAGGGACAGTTCAAGGAAGGGAGGAGGAGAGACAGGGAGTTGGAGGTGAGAAACCAGAAGACAGCCATGAATTGGCTGCTCAATTTGAGTCTCTTGCTGACAAAGTAAGAGACAAGAGAGAGACTGATACAGAGAATGAAAGGGAGAGGCAAGCACGTGCTGATAAAGAGAGAATTGCTGCTCGTGAGAGAGAGCAAAAAGGGTCTCGAGCAGAAGAAAAACAGAGAGCTTTAGAACAGGCAAAAGAGAGAGAAGGTGAAATAGGATCTCGTCAAAATCAACCGTCTCTTGAAGAAATTTCCAATTACAGAGCTATAGCACAGCAGAAATCGAACGAAGCAATAATGGCGGCAAAGGAACGGTATGACAAAGCAAACAAAAAATCACTCGAGCAAGGAGTTGAAGCTGGAACAAGGGAAGCAATACCGAGAGGCACAGAAGAAGCTGAGGACACAGTCGAAGAGGGAAATCAATATTCAGGTTTAGAGACAGTGAAAGAGACGCTTACAAGTGCAGCCAAAACAGCAAAGGATTACACCGCGCCAATAGCAGAGAAGGCCAAAGATTACACAGTCTCTGCAGGTCGAACAACAGCTCATTACCTTGGAGAGAAGGCAGTGGTGGCTAAGGATGTTGCAATAGAAAGTGGGAAAGTTGCAGCTGAGTATGCAGGTAAAGCAGCAGAGGATTTGAAGGATAAGACGGCAGTTGCAGGGTGGAGCACGGCCCATTACTCATGTGACACGGCGGTGGAGGGGACTAAAGCAGCAGCAAGGCTCGTGAAGGGAGCTGCAGAGTATGCAGGAGCCATTGCAGCCAAGCCCTTGTCTGCTGCAAAGAATGTTGCTGAATCAACAGGGGAGACTGTGAAGGACTATACAGCCAGGAAGAAAGAAGAAGCACAGAGAGAATCAATGTACAAGCAAACTGAGAAAGAATCCATGTATGAGAAAACTAAGGAAACTTTTGAAGAGGGTATAGAGGAAGTGAAGGAAAGGGGGGGAGAAAGAGGAGAAGAGAACAGAGTTGAAGAGGATAGAAATGATGGGGGGATATTGGGGGCAATTGGGGAGACCATATATGAGATTGCACAGACTACAAAAGATATAGTGATTGGGCCTGGTGATGAGACTGGAAAACAGAGCACATTAGGCTTTGAGCTTGGTCAGGAAGAGGATGAGGAAAAAGGCCAAGAACATGAAAAGAAAGAGCACTATGAAACTGCAGCCAAGAAGGAACACAGAGCCTGATAGAAAGTCCACTGTTTAAAGTGGTTTGTGAGTTTTTATGTTTTGGAATTCCTGGGAAAGGATTGTGGAAGAATGGATTATGTGTTTTTAAGTTTGTTCGTTTATGAGGGGTTAAATAAAATTGAGTGTCTGTGGATCCTCTTTGTTCTTTTGAAGTGGAATTTCCTTGTACTGTGTAGAGTTCTGTAAGGGTGGAGTTTTCATAGAAAGTAAAGGCTGCTGCCAAAATAAAATGAAACAGTACAATAAAATTCACACTCTGAGCTGAACAGAAACCCAAGTTAAATTTGAAATTATAGTGATAAGTATTAGTTTGACTTAGAATTTATAATTCTAAAATTCACGTAATATTCTGGGCTCATTTAAACCACCTCTTATCCATCAGACAAAAATAGTCGGTCAGCATTACTATATCACACAACAAGAACGCTACCCCAAATTTCTACACATTTTCTATACTATCCATGTTCCCAGACTTTATTTTTGGGAGAAGAAAGCCTTACAGAATCCATGACGAAGAGGAGGTCGACAATCCAAGATTCTTAGGCAACTGCAACTGCTACTGCTACTACATAATTGCTAGAGAATTGTCACATGCTGTGACCTGCAGAAGTAGTAATGTAAATAAGCAATGGATATTTTGTACGGAAAAACTACCGGCATCTAATTTCTAATCAAATTCCACCAGATGTTACAAATTATTGCAATGGAAGTTGATTCTTCCTCGTCCAGAGATTCTAACTCTAAACATCTACTACCACCTAATAAATAGGCTACTACTTTTGTTTCGCATTCACAAGGATTGCTCGATTCCCCATTCGGAATCTTTGCACTGTACACCAATTACATATTCGAGATCCATCATCTGAATTCCTCTGTAGAAGTAGACAAGACATTGGATCTACCTTCTTTCATTCCATAAAATATCAAGCGATCGTTATTCAACCTGAGATGACATAGAGATTCTTAGAATGGCAAGACTGTCAACAGCGAGAAAATAATTGAAAATGTAACCATAGCATAATCAGAAAAGTGTTGGTTAATATAGAAGCTATGAATGAGTTTACGACGTCAAGGCTGTTATTTCTACATTGAACTTCAATGAACTACTTGATTGCTCTAAACTTGCTATGGATGTGCAATTATTCAAAAACGGATTTAGCTTCCCAAGAATAACTAGAAAACACAATTCATCACAGCACAAGAAAAGGCTCTAAACTTGCTATGGATTTGAATATTTTCAGTTTTTTCTTGAGGTGCAGCTGTTTTGACCCCTTTTTTTTGTTAGGTTATTTCTTCTCCCATTTGTAGGTTGCTATCTATATCAATAAAAAATCGTTTCTAGTAGTGTGTGTGTTGTACATAAAAATCTAATGAATGGTTTCGACAGCTACAGATAGCATTCAATAGAAGTCAACTGTAAGCAAAGGGACAAGTTGAAGACACCACAGAACATCATCATATATCCCCGTGTAACTTATCATTATACACATATACACAATAAGTAACTAATCTTAAGGTTAAATTGGATTCCTCCTAATGATTCGGTTGATAGCAGCTGTGTCAAAAAAAAAAAAAAAAAACTTAAATCATGGCGTGTAACAACTTAGTTATGTCCATTATTACCTGAATAGAAAGTCAATGCGATGGTGATCCTGCATCAGATCCTGATGCTGCAGAGCTGTCACTATCAGAATCTGCAACACAAAAATGAAAAAGAAAACTGCTGATATATGATACGTACCATGTAGACAAACTCTCAATGAAAACAATGGTTCGACATTTTATAAGAAAACCTAAGTAAACAAATGTTGTACTTACCACTAGATGAAGATCCCGAATCACTGCTAGAGCTACTTGAGCTGCTGGACTTACTCGAATGATCCTTCTGTTGTCCCCCTCGAAAGGGTGAGGAAGAGGAAAGAACATTTTCATCTGCTTCAGAATAACATAAACTTTAGTAACTCTGTTCACTCGACAATCAAAAACCAAACCCCCACCATATTCTGTATACGAACAGACTGACCTGTTCTATTTTCTCTAAAATCCTTTGAACCATCAGGGGCTGGGGTCTATAAGACAGAACAACAGAACATTAATTAGCAAATGGCAGTTGATTTCAACTAAAATAAATGAAACTGGAAATTTATATGTAGGGTTTACCTTCTCCTGGTTGTTATGCTCAGCTTCTGCTCGAGCCTTCAACATAGCGAGTTCAGCCTTCCTCTTATTCTTGCTCATACTCTTCCTGTAGTTCGAAACAAGTCTGTCAAGCTCCCACAGAGTCTCAGTGTCGACATTATCAATGTCTACTTCTATTTCATCATCTTGTTGGAGAAGTTCAAAGTTCCTCTTTTTAATAATCTGCAGAATGGTATTTAGCTTCTCAGAGGGTAAATTCTGAAGGTTCGTACTGAGCCTTTTCTTTTCATTGTAAGTCATATCCCTTTTGAATGGATCTTTTGCCTGGGGTTTCTTCAGTGAAGGTGTTCTCGCTGATGGAGTCACGCTCATCGGTTGTGTCTTGGAATCAGCTGGATTTATCAATGACTCTGACCTCCGTAGAATCTTTCTCATGTCAAGAGGAGGAACTGGTGAAGAAAGGTGTCTCATTGAATTAGAAGATGGAAGAGTAGCCTGAAATTCCATTCCCAACCTCAGCTCCTGGTGATAATTTGATTCGATAACAATCCACCTGTCCTCAAAGATTTTCAGTAATTGTTCTGCCATTACGTGAACATCTTGCCCTTCTGGATTATAAGTCATAGCATTATGAAAAGTAAGTCTTACATCCTCCGCAAATTCTTTTGGGGACTTGTACCAATTCTTGTGTAGACTCGTTTTCACCGAACCCAAGTCCATTGGATGTCTGATAATGCTACAATAATCATGCAAACCAAGCCCCTCTGCGTCGACAGGAGTATTAAACACCCAGCCATGCTTATGTTTCATCAATTTCTCGAGTAAAGAAACACAAGCATTGAAAATTTTAGTAGCCATGCCAAAACCATGCTTTAACTTTTGACTACTATGCTTTTTCCCATTTAATTTCGACTTTTTATTGCTCTCAGCCGGAGGAATCTTATCTTTTGCAAGCAAGAATTCAGAATTCCGATAGAACTGGTTTTCTTTTGGGGTCCTCTTCTCCCTTTCCATGAAATCACGCGTCCCTTTACCATTCTCTATAACTAATATGCTTAACTGGGGCAGTGGTCTGGTATCATCCGTCACAACACCTACAGAACCAACTTCTGAATGTACATGATAGGCTCCACGAACGTTATCAGCCATTTCGATTGTTGAAATGTGAGAACTTGTATGTTCGCTATTTAACTGCATCTGTATGGCTTCAATCCTCTTCACCAAATTTCTCACAATTTCAAGCTCACTCTCAAATTTCCGCCGAATCTCTTGCATTTCCTGCTTCGGCTTCAATGCACAATTGCCCTGATTCTGAATGCCAGAACCTGTTTGAATGATCCCATTATCAGCAGAAAGCTCCTGAGTAGCCTCCGCAGTCAGCCCAACAGCTGCCTGTCCATTAAGCCTCGTCAAATCGTCAGAGGCAGCGTTCGGTAAAGGCTGGTGCAATAGATTCGCATCTTCCAACGCTTCTGAATGCGGCACTGCCTGGCCTGAACTGTTATTGAAGGCTTCAACATTGCTAAACGAGGCGGTAATGGTATTCCCATTCTTCAAACAAGTATCCTTGTCGGTGGTGGTGGTGGTGGACAAAGTGGCGGTGACGGTATTCCCATTCTTCACACCTCTGAACGTTTTCCTTCTGTAAACCTTACTCTCAGAATGCTGCTTAATTCTATCTTCATTTCCTCCTCTAGCTATAGGCGCTGAAGCCATACAAACAATCAAAACACCCAAAACCCTTAAACCCTCCAATCCTCAAAAAAGTTGAATTATCCGTCCCACGGGTTTCCCTTTACCCAAAAAAAAGTTGAAACAAAACACCCCAAGAAACTCAAATCTCCAGGTAATTAAACGCAAACCAAACAAACAAAGAAAAAAGTACATCAAACATACCAATCTCTAGAGTGCACAAAGGATCCAAGAACACCGCATCAAATAAGCCATACAAACAAATAAAAGACGTCAAACGGCATAAAACGTTAGGGTTTAGTGTGCCGGAGAAACCACACTTCCGGCCAGATCCGGCTCCGTTGTTCTTGAGAGAAAAAAAAAAAAAAAAACAAACAAACAAACAAACAAAACCCACCTGGTCTCTAAAATTCACCGCCTCCCGTTGTCGTAACGTTACAGGTGTACGGAAGAAGCGATGATCGTGGCCCGCAGCATTTTATATGACGCGTTGGGACGGCATCGAAAGGCCCGTGCGAAGAACTGACGATAGTATCCAACGTTTACGCGCGATGGTGGAAAGTGTAGCGCATGGTCCAAAGGAAAGAGAGGAGGGAAGAATACACCGGCGAGTAAACTGACGGCGTGGATTATTGGTGGGGGCGGATCAATGGCGAGGGACTGGTTTTAAGAAGCTTCAAAGTGTTTGATTATTATGAAAACAAGGAAGAAGATTATGTTTCGAAGCTACAGAACGGAAGGACTTTGCCGCTAAAATTCTTCCGCCGGTTCCGGCGACAATTTTATAGCATAAATAACTTTAAGCCCAAGCCCAAGCCCAAACTCAAGCCCAAGCCCAATAATGAGTGATTCCAAATTCAAGTTTTTTTTACTGATATAATTCTCAAATTTTGTGATATTTATTTTAGTCTATAGTTTTTTTTCCGACATATATATTTTTCTAAAGAGATGAGTTAAATTAATCAATATTTTAACCTTCACGTTACAAAATTCAAACAATATTGATCACCCCTTAAAATAATATTTTGGGGTCATATTCAACATTTTTAGAAGGAGACCATTCGCCATTCATCGTCCGTTTTTAAAGGTATCATTGGAAAGTTCTAAAAACTCTTCTTCCACTTTGATACTGAAAAATATTGATCATAATTCTTTGTCGATTTTTAAAGGGTATCATTGGAAAGTTCTTAGAAACTCCTCTCCCACTCTGATACACAAAAATATTGATCATGATTCTTTGTCGGTTTTTAGAGGGTATCATTAGAAAGTAAACTCCTCTCACACTCTCAAAAATATTGATCATATTCCAGTTTTTTATAGCAGATATTGTCCTTTTTTTACTTTTCCTCTCAGATTTTCCCTTCACGTTTTTAAAACGCGTAGGGAGAGGTTTCCACACCCTTGTAAACAATGTTTTGTTCCTCTCTCTAACTCATGTCTATTCGTCTCGCCCCAAACTTGAAAATTGAAAGAAAAGTAGGGAGACCTAAATTTTTGGTATGACCAAACAAGGCGAATAAAGAAACAATACGATGTGTAACCGCTAATATATATTTATAATAGCAAGATGTATGATATAATATATGATATCCATACATATGAAAAGGCTATAAAAGGCAATCCAAGTAGATTCCTAGTTTTTTTAATTAAGAAAATTAAATAGGAAATAAATTAATATGATTATACACAAAAGTACAATATTGTTGGTCAATTTTAGAATTAAGCACTCATAAGAATCTTTTCCACTAATTAATCATTAAAATGAATCTTGATTTGATGATTAAATTATTAGTTTTAATTAATAGTTGGGGATTAAGTAAAGTAATGCCAATGAGACAAACACTACTTCATTAAATTAATACTTTTTTCTTAGATTACGTTCAGATGAATTTTAAAAAAGAAAAAATAGTACAAAACATAATTTTATTATTAATTAAGAAAATAAATGGCTCGGACCGTAATTTGCATGTATTCATTTTCTTAAGCTCGAAGGTTGAACTATGTTGACATGACATTTTTTTTTTTTTAACGGTGCTAGTAGATATTGTCTGTGGCCAGCTTCACGGTTTTAAAATGCGTGTATTAGGGAGAGATTTCCACACTCTTATAAGAGATGTTTCGTTTCGCTCTCTAGCCGATGTAGGATCTGAGACGACCGTCAAAACTAAAATATATATATATATATATATATATATATATATATATATATATATATATATCCAACTTTATATTATAAATATGTATATGTGTGCATAATATCTCAAGCTGGTTACAACAAAAGCTTCTCACAAACCGGGGAGGAAGAGAATGTTTGCATTGAAAGAAACAAACAAAGCTCCTCCATTTTATTATCAACATGGAACACACATACATATTAATGTACCTTCCTCAACTCAAACATGGTGTTCGGGGTCGGGTCCACCGGGGACGATCCTCTCCGATCCAACGAGCGATCGCCGCGTGCCATGTCGGAGATCAGAGAGGCGAAAGCCAAACGTTTTACGAAGAAGAAAAAGTCGAGTCGTTTCAGGTGGTGCAATAACGTCGCGTGTGTGAAGAACTCTGGCATGAGAGCAAAGGCAGAAGAAGAGGAGGAGGAGGAGGGACATGGGTGCATTGCTAGCTCGAGCCATTCATGCAATTGTGGTGCTATTCAAATTGCAGGGGTTGCTGACTGATGCAGCCACGGTTGTTCTTACATATTTATAGGAGTCCTCCAGGCTTATCATTACAGTTCAATCCATTCAAAAGTGGGTTTTACTTTTCTTTTTTTATGGCTAAATGTCAAATTTAGTGCTCTAATTTTTTTTAAAAAGCTTTACTTCTTTGATGAAAATGTCGAAATATTATTTAAATCCTAACGTGACTTGTCGATTCATAAGTTGATACGATATCAAAATAAATGGTATAAGAAAATATCAACGATTCTCCTGTTGTTTTTCACTAAGTTTTTGCTAAACCTATTTTTTTTTCAATCAATTTATGTCAAATCGTCGTTTATAGTAAATTTTCTAATATCACGTGGTGGGGATAATGGTCCTCGACATATCTCCACAATAGTATGATGTTGTTCACTCTCGGTACGAGCTGTCGTAATTTTGTTTTTGGTTCAACCCAAATAACCTTGTACCGCTAGAGATAATGTTACATACTTGTATACCTATGATCTTTTCATTTTCTAGCTAACCTAGGACTTTGTTTACATTTTCAACCCCACGAGAGCATGAAGAAACGTTCATAGTAAATTTTCTAATATCACGTGGTAGGGATAATGGTCTTCGACATATCTCCACAATAGTATGATGTTGTTCACTCTGGGTATGAGCCGTCGTAGTTTTGTTTTTGGTTCAACCCAAATAACCCCGTACTGCTAGAGATAACGTTAAATTGTGACACTCGAGTAGAAGAGGAGTACGTGAAGGAATCATGACTACATCCGAATGAGAGCGATTATGAACAACCCAAGCCCACCGCTAGCAGATATTGTCTTTTTTGGGTTTTCTCTTCCGAGTTTCTCCTCAAGATTTTTAAAACGCGTCTGCTTGGGAGAAGTTTCTACACCCTCATAATAATGTTTCGTTCCCCTATCCAATTGATGTGGGATCTCACCATCCACCCTCTCCAGGGCTCAGCATCCTCGTTGACACTCGTTCCTCTCTCTAATCGATGTGGGATCTTATAATCCACCTTCCTTTGGGGGGCTCAGCATCCTCACTGACACTCGTTCCTCTCTCCAATCGATGTGGAATCTCATAATCCACCTTCCTTCGGGGCTCAACGTCCTCGTTAGCACTCGTTCCCCTCTTCAATTGTTGTAGGATCTAACAATCCACTTCTTTCAGGGCTTAGCGTCCTCGATGACATTCATTTTCCATCCTCAATGACACTCATTTTCCTCTCCAATCAATGTGGAATCTCACAATACACCACTTCAAAACTAGTGTCCTCGCCAGCACACATTCCTCCCTCCACTCAAGGTGAGATCTCAACTTTACTTTTAAAAGCAAGAAATAAATAACATGATTATGTCGTAAAAATAAGTTAAATATTATTTATTTAGTAAAAAAGAAAGTGTAAAAGATATCATTTTACATTTAATTATTTTGTTTACCAAATATTAAAGTTTCCGTTAAAAAAAAAAATGAAATTTTGTATAAATTAATAAAAAATTTATTAGTAAAGGAGTGGAAGTGAACCGACAAATCGACACAACGGCAAGGGCTGTCGTTTTCTCCATGCAATCAGGATTCAAGCTTTTTATTCCGTGAGTAGCTTCTATTACTTTATCTTAATTGTCTTTTTCCTTTTATAAAAATAATATTAAAAAAAAACAATTATTAGTAATTAATTTATCCGATTAATCAAATGCTTTTTATTAATTTTTTAAAAAATTATATTTAAAGCACTCTATTTTTTTAAATTTTATTAGTGACAATATACCATTAATATTTTGATGTAAAAATGGATAAATAAATAAATTAAAAGAATTGATAGGTTTTTTTTTTNAAGGTAATAATAATATAAATATTCCATAAATGTTGGAACATATAATTTCATTTTACCTTGAAGATTCTTATTATTGTTTTTTTTTTTTCCCACCATAAAATATTAATTTAATGTAAGAGATAATGGGAAAGTCTTTTGAAGCTTAATGGAAAACAATGATCATCAAACATAGTTTATATGAATGGAAATCCCATGCCAACATTCACAATTATATTAATTATTATAAAACCTTTACCTCAAAAGCCTTACAATTAAATTAAATTATTCGGGTGTAATAAAGTCTTCGACTTTTAATTTCATTAAAATAATAATAAAATAAGTGATGTGATACTCGAATAAAGAAGAGATACATAAATGAATCAATATCATATCTGAATGAGAGTGATCTTGAGAATAAGATGACTAAGAAAGGTTTAAAAGAATTGAAAGTCATTATCTACACCACCTTGCTTTTCGGTGCTCAATCATAGAAATTTCATGATCAAACGTGTTTTGCTTGAAACAATTCTATGATGGGTGACTGGATTTTCCTAGGATCGAATTATGTTGAAAGAACTCATGTTGGTCTGTAGACAACCATATCGCAGGGGAATGTCGGGGCTATCAGGTGTCGAATTCGGATTCTGAATTGTGGGTATGGGTCGTTACAAGTTTAAATATAAGAGATCACTAAAATTTAAAATTTGTGTTTTCATATATATTCAACATTTTAAAATTTTATAAACCTGTATTTGATGTTACATGAGAATGTTATCGGAAAGCAACTAAAAGAGTTTGTTATACATCAAAACACAAAAACAGCAGATACTCGTAAAATCGTTAGATGGTATTA